AGGAGTAACTTAGGCTACTTTTTTTAGACTAGCTTCGCCCCGCGGCGTTGCCCACGGTTATACCAACAAACGTGGGTTTCAGCTAGTATGTTTTATATGCGTCCAATGTTTGTGTAAAATAAAAGGTTTTTCTTTAATCTCTTTGTAAATATTGTCGTCAGCTTTTGTTATGTGGTCTTTTTGATGTGTGACATCTTTCGTTACGTCCCTGCAATCTGTGGAAGTATTTAGTTAAAAAGGGGAACTATATGTGTTACAGGAAGCCGGGAAAACGGTACTAATCTCGGCCGTCAGATGTCACATATTTCATGACACTACAGGCCCGTACCTCGTTACTCTGTTTTTACACGCTTTATATTAGCTTCACCTGTATGTTTGTTTGTAACCGACTCCTTTGGGCGTTATTTTGAGTGACTTTAAACGGTCAGAATTCGATCAAACTTTGTAGATATATCGAAGACCGATGACAATACACTAATTAAAAAACTAAAAAACACGCGTTTTATAGAAAACCAAACTAAAAAACCTTTTTACTATTGACAACAGGGACCCAACGCTTTTTTTTCAAATTTATTAAAATTTATTTTCTATTTTTTAGTTTGGTTTTTAAAATCATGGCACATTAAAAGTGAATTATTTAACTACCAAAAGGCGTGCAGATTCATTTTTATTTAATACAAAATTTATCTAACCGTTTTGTTCAAAAATAGATACTATGTCATGTATCCTAGAGCAATAGATGGCGCGTTTATAAATGACTAGCTGGTACCCGTGTGGAATTTCAAAAGTGCTACCTTAGTGGTGTACGCGACTGCAGTCCGTGAGGCCTCGGGTTCGATTTCCTCTACCGGCATAATTTTATAGGGTTTTTATGAGAGGAAAAATAGCCTATATAGACAGATACATGGTAGTAAATATTATCAAAATCGGTCCAGCCGTTTCAAAGCCCACCCGAAACAGACACAGACAGACAAAATACTTTTAAACTGATTTTTAGGCATAGGTATCGTACAAATAACCTTGTGAGCTGGAAAAAACCTATTATTTTGATATTACAAACAGACACTACAATTTTAATTATTTGTATATAGATGTGTAGTCTGCTCCAATTTCAATTACCTCGGCTCCCTCTTACAATGTGAGATTGATCGAACTGTACAGCATCGAATCAATACGGGATGGATGAAGTGGCGGCAGGTAACGGGAACAACTTGTGACCCCAGTTTCCCCTTAAGGGACAAATGTCATGCGTAGGGATGAGGAAAATGTGGCGAAGAAAGTTTTAGGTATGAGAGTTGAAGGGTACAAGAGAAGAGGCAGACCGAAGAAGAGGTGGATGGACTGCGTCAGGGAGGATATGGCTAGGAAGGGAGTAAACAGTGAGATGACGCATGACAGAGTAGAATGGAAAAATCATACATACTGCGCCGACCCCAAATAAAATTGGGAAAAGGGTAAGCAGATGATGATGTGTAGATCGGAAACTGCTACTGTAACCAGAAGCATAACCGCAGCCACTCCCATGCTCCCCATTTTAATTCTTAGAGGAAACTCAAATACGTTAACACAGTTGTATCTTGAGCTATCTATATCCGTGGGTGGCTATAGTTACTGGTGACTAGAGATGGAATAAAATAATAATCACCTGTGATAAATTATATAATCACACCTGTGACTAATTCACAAAACCACTGCTACTTATTATTATTATTATTACGCTAGCGCCAGACTCGTGAAAGGTCTAAATCTAAACAATTGACGGAGAAATCGCGGTACAAACATACATAAAAAAAATAAAAAAATACAGACGAATTGAGAACCTCCTCTTTTGTGTTTTGGAAGTCGGTTCAAAAACGGCGTAAGGAGTCTATGGACCCCCGGTCGGAACAAAGTTCCTTTCGCTTTTTTGTAGAGATAGCAATATTGGTAGAAATATTAAAAAGGGAGGGTCAAAAAAAGTTTTGTTACACATTTTTCGGCCTCGCTCCCGCTCAGATCGTGTAACACGCGTTAAGAAACTTCCTTTCTTTAACAAAATGATTTTTGACATATGTTGATGTAATTTATCTTTGTCTATGACCAAATCACAATCACATGTGAAATCGCAGTAACTAAAGCCAACCGTTTCATCATATGGCTATTATGATTTAAAACTGGCAATTCTTTCCATGGCTACTAGTGACCCGTCAGATGTTCATTTGACCCATAAACAATAAAAAATATAATAACCAAATTCTAAGTTAGGCGTCACTGAGCTACTAACAAGTTTACATAACTAACAATTAAATCAGCCATTAATCACGCGTTAAACTGAAGAGTTCTTCCGCTAGGAAAACAGTCGGAGCCATATCGAATCGATTTAAGTTTTAACGTAATTAGTGATGTTTAAATATTATATAACCAACTAGCTGAAACCCGCGGGGTTACCCGCGTTTGTTGTTATAACCGCGGGCAACGCCGCGGGGCGAAGCTGGTCTAAAAAAAGTAGCCTAAATTACTCCTTATGTCATCAGCTATCTGCCAGTGAAAGTCCTGTCGAAATCCATCCAGCCGTTCCAGAGATTACCCGGAACAAACAGACAGACAAAAATAGTAAAAAATGATATTTTGGCATATATACCGTGTAATCATACATATGCATTTAGTAAAAAGCGGATATTTCAATATTACAAACAGACACTCCAATTTTATTTATTTGTATGTATTGTTGTCATGTCAGGGAATCTGTGTCCGCTTCTGCTGGCTTAAAATAGGCTAATACGACTGTCCTGGACCTGGCCTGACTGGACTGTTAACCCAGACGTCGTCGGGTTCAATTCCCACACAGGACAAATAATTGTGTGATGAGCACAGTCATTTGTTCTGTGTCTGGGTGTAATTATTATATTATTTAGAAATATATTAGTATGTTTATTAGCAGTCAGAGAGCTGCATGCCCAAAATCGATCTAAGTGGCGTGCAATGGGAGAGGTCTATGCCCAGCAGTGGACTGCGATAGACTGATGATGATGATTAGTAGTCGGGTTACCTTAGTACAGGATCTGCCTAGTTTAAGATTAAACAGCCGTGTCTGAAATGTGTGACTTTATGATTATTACCTCTATTTTAGATGCAGAAAGCAGATTTACTAATACCTTATTACCAAATAATTTGTTTTAATTAGCATGAAACTTATTACAAGATTACGTATTCGGTAGTAACACAGTCGGTAACGAAACCATACCTCGTATTTAAATCGATTACCGCCATCTAGTGCGCTAAAAAGTAACTAATCAATCTTGTATCTGTACAACAGGCGCATTTTTATATGCGGTTAATTAAAAAGTACCTCAGTATAGTTGAAACTAATAGTTTGAATTCGATAGTGGGTAGTCGATAAAATATAATGTTTCTTTCAAAGATATTAATAACAAAATGTTTTCTGTAACTCGTCTATGAAGTATAATAATCTTAAGAGAGGTTTTTTGAAGTGAAACCTTTAGTAGCGTTGGGCATTTTTGAAAAAATAACAAAATAATGTAAAAAAACCATTGAACTCGCGACACTGTTACCGTTCCCTATATTGTATCTACATATATTGGCCCCGTTTACACGAGAGTTGAGTTTGGGTTGAAATAACACAATTTCAATTCCACAGATGGAAGTCACTTCATTATCATCGTTAATAGCCTTTGATAGTCCACTGCTGGACATAGGCCTCTTCTTAGAAAGGAGGTTTTGGTCTACTATACCACTGGTCAGACAGGTTGGTGTCTAGTTGTCCTTCTCTTTCGTCAAGTGCTTGTTGTTGTTGTTTAGTCGGCTCTTACGACACCCACAGGAATAGGTGTGGTGACACTTCGTTTTCTTAATCCGTCACCACATAGACACTTCTCATTAGGTAACTAGTTTGCCCCCATATACTAAAATACCATTCGAAAGTGGGTAGTATTTAATTATTTTTTATAACTTACTGAAATATGATTATATAACATTAAAATCATTGTATCGAATGTCTTTGAGAACCAAAACACAATGTATTTATATTAGTACCATTACTGGTACAATAGGTTAATTGTATAACTAATTATGTGAAAAAACTATTTATTAGCGGTAACGTAACGTCGCCATAAAACTTAAAACAAGTAAATAAATTATTTTATTGTCTATTATTGTATTGTTACGTTCTAAAGCGTAACAATTTTATTTGGGTCATTTTTTTGTAATAATTATTTTGGAATGGAAAATTGGGGCTCAGGAAACACAAAAAACCGTTCTTTTATTACCTAGGATTTGTACAGAATCCAATAAGGTTTCAGATCTTATTCTAACTGCACTGCTAGTTGAAAATATCATGTCAACATAAAACAGTACTCGCAGACATTAAGAAATGTCCGTGTGGTGACGAACTAACAATACCACTGACACTGGAGTGTCACCACCCCTGTTCTTCCCATGGATGTCGTAAGAGCCGACTAAGGGAGCAAACTCTACAGGACAACAGCACTGCAAAGAGAAGGAAAAATCGTACACTAACCCGTGTAACCAGCGTGGTATAGTAGGTCGAAACTTCCTTTCTAAGGAGAGGCCTATGTCCAGCAGTGGACTATCCAAGGCTGTTGATGATGATGATGTCTCTTTAATTGCATGTGTGAATTGGTGGCGGCAATAAATTACCATCAGGTGCCCAATCTGCTGGTTTGCCCCTATGCCGTACAATATTTTTATAGAGTCGATTGCTATCTAATAGTCAGGTTTCTAAATTACGTGCTATTTCTGTCATTTACATTTAGGACACTTTTTTTGGCCTGGAGGAAAATGTCTTCGGATCGCCGGCTCCTTGGGGAACGCAGGAGCCCGGACTATGTGATGTTCTCAGGCACCCTATCCTGGGGAGGACCCAGGCCATGTTATTTGACCCCCCCCCCCCCCTATCCCCGAGGAAGCCCAGGAACCCCTAGCCCACCCCAGATGCCATAATTATATTCATTAGCGTAATAAGTATTTTTTGTTTTTTCCAGGTCTTGTGGCGCGTGGTGCCATCTATCGAAGATACAGGCAACACTAAAACACACTTTATTCAGTTCTTACAAAAATTAGATTTATCTCATTAAACACACATACATTTTTACTGTAAAACAATTTTGTTGTAAATAATTAATATTTGTAAAGTAAGTGCTATTTTTAGAATTAGATGGTATATAGCGATACCTATATATATATCTTTAAGACGTAGAGATGTACGTATCTTTTCAATAACTGTTACTGCAACTATATATTTTGATAACTAGTTATTCGTTATTGAAATACAAAATGGGTGATACAAGATTTTGGGTGATATAAAGATACGAGACTCTCAGAAACTCAAAATGGTAGCATATTAAAATAAATGAAGTTTTATAAACAATTAAAAACTTTTAAATTCTTCGTTTTTAGAAGGTCATTAATGAATTGTAGTAGACAATCGTTTTTTTTAGTATTAATTAAAAATGCAAATATTAATGAGTTTAGTTATAAGTTTAGGAATAAGACTGATTTTATACCTGCATACATTTTGTACAATAAATGAAGATGTCTTTTATAATTTGGTTTTATTTTATGGTTGTATTCCGTGTGGTGACAGATTAAGAATACGGAGTGTCACCACCCCTATTTATCCCCTGGGTGTCGTAAGAGCCGACTGTAAAGGGAAGGAAAACTTGAAGCAAACCCTATACCAACCCGTCTGGCCAGCGTGGTATAATAGACCAAAACCTTCTTTCTAAGGAGAGGCCTATGTCCAGCCGTGGACTAATAAAGGCTGTTGATGATGATGATGATATGGTTCTGTTGTTTACATTTCTATTAGTAGTAAAGTAATCAGCGGGAAACTACCACAGATTATATATAGTATCATTTTGCATTTCGACAAATTACACCTTTGACCTTCTGCACCTAAAGGTAAGTTACGTATTCTTTCTTATCTATGACTGAACAAAGACAATTTCTGAGCTACTAAAATACATAAAATAATGATAACTATTATTATATTCGTCATAAAACTTAAAAGGCTAGAGAGAAACCAGAACCTCAGAGAAAACCGGTAGCACAATTCTTTGTTGTTTTTTTTTTTTTTTTCCTGAAACCCTTCGGATACCACCCACACCCACGTGGTTATGTCGTACTCAAACTGACCAAAACCACACCAGTACCAGTAGCTGGGGAACAAGGTATATCCCTGGTACCGTTGATTTTGAATTAGTGAGTTAGGTTACCGAAACCCCAATCCTCGGCCTATTTTTGGCAGTTAAAGAAAAGCAACACAGGACTCTTGAGCGACGACTTGACGACTATTTAAGAGCGGCGATAGTCACTGACCATCAGGTAATCTATCCGCCATTTTTTTACAAAAAAATAAATAACGATACAAAACTGTTGATATTGAATATCTGTTGCTCCCGTGCCTATTATGAGTATCCAGACACCCCCGCCCCTTTATCGACCCAAATATGGGTATAAAAAGGGGTGCGAGCTCAGATCAGGCACCGAGTTGCACGCTACGGCCCGGTCTGGTTAGCCGTAACGTTCAAATCTCGGTATCTAAAAACATATATAAAATCTGCTCCATTGGGCAACAAGTCTATACATGGCTTGAGATGACGACCCTCTCTGCCATGTTAGAAAGGGTTTCTTAGGGAAAGGCACGATAAAATTGTGTTAGATATTTTTGCCGACTAGTTATCTTCATAAATTTGTGCATATTACTGAGAAATCAACGCAAATTCTCATAGAAACACATAATTAGTTGATAAACGGCACATATATAGTCACTCCAAGAGGTATCATACTATTTTGGAACCTTTGGTGATGACCTTTAATGAGAACTGTAAATTGTATCGTTTCTAGTTGTAAAAGTAGTGTTGACATGTATGGGATTTGGGTATTTTCTTTTTATTTAATTATGTTTGTGGAATTTGTGTTTAGTTGTTATTTTGATTTCTTGTCACTTTCTTTTCTTTTGTAATGATTTTAATTAATTTGATTGATAACTGTTTTTGTATTTGATTATTTTATCATATTTGTACACCTTTTATGGTTGAACATGTTGACTCTAAAAATTTGTTATTAAGACCTGTATATTTGTGACTAAGTATTGTTGTACAGACACATGTTCTGCAAATAAATAATAATATATCTTTATCTTTGGAAGGGTGTCACAATAATTTGAAGTACTCTTTTTCACTCACATCATTTTGACGCCACTTTAATATGATGCCTATGAACAATCAGATATTTCTGCGGTGTTCGTCATCATCGTCATCATCAACAGCATTTAACAGTCCATTGCTGGACATATGCCTCTCCTTAGAAAGGAGGTTTTGGCCTACTAAACCACGCTGGCCAGACGGGTTGGTATAGGGTTTGTTTCAAGTTTTCCTTCTTTTTGCAGTAGTTTGCTCCCTGCGTAGTTTGCTCCCTTAGTCGGCTCTTACGATACCCACGGGATGAATAGGGGTGGTGACACTGTATTCTTCATCCGTCACCACGCGGTGTTCGTCCAGAGATATTATTGATCCCGTTCCTTACACTGCAAATACTATAGGAATTTAATGGGTTAATTTGATTATTGGCAATTGCCCAACTAATGGTAGATTGTTTTATTGTAAAATGAGCACGATAATTTTTTCTGAATCTAGGTGTAATTTATCTCTAATACTTACTTATTAAATGTGTTTAGTAGTCTGGCTACCATTGTACAGGGTCTGACCAGTTGGGGATCAGACGGTCATGTATCCTTTGGCTTATTCTACAGTATAAACAATTTCACAATGTTTTATTTATGAGAACAACGGATCATTCATATATTATCCATGGGAGAGTCATGGCCCGGCTCGACCGGAGTGATACCACTTTTCACTGAATGAGTGAGGTTACCGGGGCCCAAATACCCCCTAGAGGGACTCCAAGGGCAGCAACGCACCTGTGACTTTTGAGTTGCAGGTGTCTGCACTGCTGCAATTGGTGGCATGTCGGACTCGAACCGACTAAAACCGCATGCCGTCTCGGGTACTAATAGCCGGGGAACCAGGTATACCCTAGAAACGAAGTCCCTGGTGCCCCGACATACCTCGGGCCATCTACAACAACAGGTAGACGATTCACCCCATGTTCCCTCTGTTCCTTGGAAGCGAGCGCGCTTCGCAACGCGCTCGCCGCCACCCCGGCCTGCTTTTTCTAGGGTGACAGATGGCCTCACCTGTCACCCCCAGGCCTGCGCTTATGAAGGACGGAGGTCGTTCTGCCTGCCTGAGTCGCCTGCGATACCTGGCCCGTTCCCGGGCCTGGCGGGCCGGATGGCCGATTTGTACTGAAAAATTGAAACTCGTTTTTTTTCTAAGATGTAACATATTTATTTAATCAAAATATTTACCCTCATTATCTATACATTACTGCCATCTAAACGGAAGTTCATTTATGTCTTTACGATAGAACTCTGTGTGTCTAGATTCGACAAACTGTGTCAAAGATTTTTGTACTGCCTCCTGGAAATAATATTTATATCACGTAAAAAATTGTCCAAATCACGAAAAAAACGGTAGTCCATTGGAGCAAGGTCTGGCGAGTACGGAGGACGTATGGTTTCTAACTGCAGATCCTGTAGAGACGTTAAACCATGCCGCTAATTCCTGGGTAGTTTGACTCGAATCGGCTTCAGGAATCGAACCCCAGGCCCCAAGGCCTACACCACTAATTCCATTTGAACGAAGTTGTTTGTACCAGCTTGTATAAAATAAAACACGCGAACATTTATTGAACAATCAAATTTATTTGGCGAAAATTAGATGTAAATTACTACAAAATATTTCATTTTTATTATTAAAAATACATAAAAAAATAAACATTATTGTCATATTCTTTTCAATATGTTAATATTTCGAGAAAATGTTTTGATAACTTAACTTTAAAGGTATGGATGGCGTAATGGTTTGTGTAACGGACTGCTATTCCAAAGGTCGCGGGTTCGATTCCCGCTCAAGTCAAACATTTGTGTTCATGAACTTTTAATGTTTGATTTGGTCTGGGTGTTTCTATGTATAATAAGTATGTATTTACAAAACATATACTATATATATTTTGAGATGGGAAAAAACCATTGAACTTGCTACACTGTTACCGTTACCGACACCTCTGTATATAAGTCATCATCAAAAGCCTATACTAGTCCACTGCTGGACATAGGCCTCTCCTTAGAAAGGAGGTTTTGGCCTACTATACCACGCTGGCCAGACGGGTTGGTATAGAGTTTGTTTCAAGTTTTCCTTCTCTTTGCAGTGCTGTTGTCCTGCGTAGTTTTCTCCCTTAGTCGGCTCTTACGACACCCACGGGATGAATTGGGGTGGTGACAATTTGTATTCTTAATTCGTCACCACACGGTATATAAGTATCTACATATATTGGCCCCGTTTACACAAGCGTTGAGTTTGGGTTGAAATTAATTGATAACTATTTATAATAGACACATATATTGTGTATATACGTACAACATAGATATATATTAATGTCAGAACTTTTCGAATCGAAAAAAAATCTTGTTATAATAAAAAATGATTAAATTTTCAAGTTTTCACTTCTGTCGGCACTCTAGAGTTGATCAGAACTGAACTGTGACCGAACTTTTATTACGAGAACTGGTCTTCAGAGCAATAAACAAACAAAATGTTCAACTTTATGATAACAATACAATTAAAAAATATCCTCACACATGGCCGTCTGATTCCAAACTAGGCAGAGCCTGTACTATAGTAACCAGACTGCTGATAAACATACTAATATATCTCTAAATACATACATATTATAGATAAATTACACCCAGACACAGAACAAATGATTGCGCTCATAACACAATATTTGTGATGGGTGGTGACGGATTAAGAATACGGAGTGTCACCACCCCAATTCATCCCGTGGGTGTCGTAAGAGCCGATTAAGAGAACGAACTAAGCAGGACAACAGCACTGCAAAGAGAAGGAAAACTTGACACAAACCCTATACCAACCCGTCTGGCCAGCGTGGTATAGTAGGCCAAAACCTCTTTTCTAAGGAGAGGCCTATGTCCAGCAGTGGACTATTAAAGGCTGTTGATGATGATGATGTGGGAATAGAACTCACAACCTCTGGGTTAACAATCAGGATCACTTAACACGTAACCAACAGGTCCGTTATTATATTATTATAGGATTCAAACTAGAGTTGTGTAGCTCCTGAATGAGTGATATAAAAGATATATATCATTCACGACGATAAAATGTATCACTCACTCACACTAGCTCCGAATATATCAGTAACTCACTACTAGCTCACTAGATCATTAGATCACTAGCTCAACGACGCCGATCTTTGTTTCATGAGCGAGTGAGACTAAAGATAAATGAGTGAGATAGATGATGGTTGAGTTCACGCAAGTTTCTTTATGCAAAATGTACATTATTTCTATAGGATCAAAATTTAATATTAGGTACTTAAGAATTAAGCCTGCCAAGTACAAGGAAAATCAAATTATGTATGATTTCTGTTATACAACCTAAAAAAAAAGTACAAGAAATAATTTCTTTTTTTAAATATTATATAAAAGGGTGTTAATAATTATGTAATCTTATCAAAATGAATAAATTTTATTAAAAAAAAAAAGGTTAAAAATGTAGTTTCAAAAACTGAATTTAGGTTAATATGAAAATAAAGAAAGGTTTGTATGGCGAGAGAGGCTTAAAGTGGCTTAAAGACTTAGATGAAAAAATGAATTAATTGAGAGACCAATCAATTGAATCGGATCAATGAGCTCGTGATCTAAATGAGTTGGTGAGCTAAATGAGCTAGTGAGCTAAATGAGTTGGTGAGCTAAATGAGTTAGTGAGCTAAATGAGCTAGTGAGCTAGATGAGTGATATATATCTTTTGAGCGAAATGATATGTATCAATCTTTTCAGCTCAGTGATACATTTTGCGCATCACTAATTCAAACTGCTGCAATTTTTTTATTTTAATTATATTAATTATTGATTAAAAATTTAAATACTTTTGAAACTAGAATGTTCTAGACAAGTGTATGTTTTCTATTGTATAGGTGGCAAACGAACAGAGCTGTCGCCTGATGGTAAGTGGCTACCGTTGTTAATGAACGCCTGTAACTCAGCAGTCACAAGCGCATATCTGACCTTTCCTTGAAGGTTTAAAGGAAATACCGCAGACGACATTTTGTTCTTCATATGTCGCACCTTTATTCATAAACTGAATTAACTTAGAATTTCAATATTGTGGGAAATCGCATTTAAAGTTTGACATTCATGTACGTGCGAGTTCGTCAAAAAGAGAACGACGATCTCTTATCTCTGCCATTTTCATGGTATCGAGTCGCCTGTTGGATTGTTCGTGTTCTACTGATGAAGTTGATTTGGTATTTGTTGAAAACTCGAAAAACGTAAATTTTGAATTAATTCAGTTTATTATTAAAGGTGCGATGTACCTATCCTACATAATTCTTACTTTATTATGCAGTTGTACTAACAATATAATTCAATTTCAGGACCAACGGGGGCCCTTAAACGAGCACAGCGACCTGTCGGTGTAGGCAGTTCATTCATTGGCCATATTATCAAAAGAAATAGTAACTCTAACACTAATTTACTTTTCTATAACTAAAGCAGCAAACAAACAGTGATGGTAATTAGTTACCTACTTTAAACATCGATGATGTCATCAGACTAATGAAAAATACAATTACAGCTTTATAAAGAACTTTAACAGTCGGGCGTCTCCAATTAGAGTAGAAATCTTTTGAGCACCAGCAGTGTATAGGCTGAGGTAACTGATATGTGATTAAATAATGGGAGATACCCCTTACTTTTCCCCTCCTTCTTTTTAATACCAGAACAGAGTAGCTACACGAAAAAATCTTAAGAAATTTCTTAAATATCTTACAATAAATATACAAGATATAACATTTAAAAATTCCAGAAGATCAGTAAATAGAAGGAGGAATCCACCCAGTTACAGGTTCGAACCCCAGCCAGAACACCATTGATGTATGTGACAAGAAAAAATGCCATACAACGGTAGTTATACCTCCAGTGACTGATATTAAACGTACTAAAACCACCACTAAGATTGAAAAATAGCACAACTTGACTTTGGGACAAAACCACAGTGAACTGTGTCTTATCATTCGATTTTTGCGAACGTAGGTAAGGATTGCTAGGTTGGTACGTTAGACGCTGTTTAACTGTAAATCTAGTATTTTTTTTACACGCTTTATATTAGCTTTACTTGTATGTTTGTTTGTATGTTCGTAACCGACTTCTTTGGGCGTGATTTTGACTGACTTTAACCGGTCAGAATTCGTTCAAACTTTGTAGATATATCGAGGACCGATGACAATACATTTATAAAAAAAAAATAGTTTTAAAAGACTAAAAAACACGCTTTCTATAGAAAACCAAACTAAAAAATAGAAAATAAATTTGATAAAAAAGCGTGAGGTGCTTTTTACTAGGCACCCAACGCTTTTTTTCAAATTTATTATATTTTATATTATATTATATTGTAAATATTTTAATTGTATTTTTTTTAGTTCATTTAAAAGCCTGTTAATATAGCGATGAGGCTCGTAGGTAACCTTAATATTTACAAACAAAAATTGTCTTATATTAAAAAAAATGCTCATAATTATATAATTACTGAAACAGAATGTTGTAGTATAAAAAAAAATTATAAATATTTTATCAGTCAATCCAACTTTCATAGTACAAGTCTACAAGCTCTGCTCTAAGTTAAAAAAGGCGATTTTTCACAGTTTCAAATCACAGTGATTGATATCAATCACTTCATCAAATGAATATGATTTAAAAGTAGCAATAATTCCCATGTCGAGATCGTCATCGAATGATACATCACCAGTCATTCACAGTTCACTGTGATTATGTCCCATTTCTAGTTACAGGTAGGTGGAACTCTAAAAAGCTAAACAACAATCTTAAGTCTAAGTTCTAAAGAACTTCGATATTGCTCCGGGTAAAAAATCTAAGTTCAGCCCTACCGTAGTTGACTTCAAGTCGGGTAAAAATCTTGAATTTGATGAATTTTCTGCTCCACTTTATGACCCTAGTATTTAAACCATACTTCACTATAACACTGTATGTCCTTAATTGTATTTAAACTATTAAATATAACAAAATAGGTGGGTGTCTCTCCATTGTCCAGCAATGAGCTCACGGCAAGGGCTCTTCTGTGAAGTATGGATGCTCTAAGCAGTCCAGCGCTGTCAGCCTCTTCGCTGGATCGAAAACTAGCATACCCTGAAAGTAGATAATCATATATTAGACTTGGCTATTTCTTATTTCTCACTTTGAAAATGACGTACTTCCATACATCCGTTCATCCCTTATTTTACCCCCTTGGGGTGAAATTTCCAGGTTACCAGAGCCTAACACTGGGCTCCTTGGCGACCTTGCTGCTCGTTTGCCTCTATGTCACCACCACCATATAAAAAGTCCTAGGTTTAAACATACCTTGATGATTTCCAACGCATGCGGGTGTATCCTGGGAATGATCTCCTGGAGGTCCATGGGCTTGTAGGCAGGGAAGCTGTCCAGCATCACTGAAGCGTTCTCCGGCCACTCTTCACGTGATGGACGTCCTATCAACCTGGAATGTAAGTCATGTATTTATGATGAATTAAAACTATGTATATATCCATGTCTGTGTGTCATCCGGTCCCGGTTGTCATACGAACGTATGTGCCAATCGTTACAGGTATACCCTTAAAAAGTTCAACAACAGTCTTTCTAACTTCGATATCGGCTACTTGGGTTGTTGAGGTCTGCTGGCAGTCGTATCGTAGTAGACTTGAAGCCAACCCCAACCTAATTTGGGAAAAAGGAATTACTAGGTACGAGAATAGGTCCTCACTACCTACTCCTACCCCGCATTTTTTAATTTGGCAGAACAATGTTTGCCAGGTCAGATTATGCTGTATAACATCTGACGTAATTTTAATAATAATAATTTATCTATACTAATATTATAAAGCTGAAGAGTTTGTTTGTTTGAACGCGCTAATCTCAGGAACTACTAGTCCGATTTGAAAAATTCTTTCAGTGTTAGATAGCCCATTTATCGTGGAAGGCTATAGGCTATATATCATCATGCTAAGACCAATAGGAGCGGAGCACCAATGAATAATGTTTCAAAAACGGAGAAAATTTATTACTATTGAGAGACGCAGACGAAGTTGCGCGGGTCAGCTAGTTTCTTATAAAAATGTTTTTTTTAAACAATAAACAACAATAATGTAGTAATAATAATAATATTTGTGCTATGCTTTCGATGGAACTCTTACCTGAAGATACTACTGAGCTGATGCGAGTCTGAGGAGCCAGGCAGCAAGGGTTTCCTGGTGTGTAACTGTGCCAGCACGCATCCTGCCGACCACACGTCCACCGCTGTGTTGTATGACACTCCGAGAAGGACCTCCGGAGGGCGGTACCACAGGGTCACCACCTGGAATTATGAGAGGAACTTATTAACATAACAATTACTAGACATATTAAACATGGCCGTCCGATCCAATACTAGGTAGCGCCTGTACTATAGCAACCAGACTGCTGATAAACATACTTATTTATTTCTAAATACATAGATAGATCATCATCAACAGCCACGCTAGCCAGACGGGTTTTTATAGGGTTTGTGTCAAGTTTTCCTTCTCTTTGCAGTGCTGTTGTCTTGCGAAGTTTGCGCTCTAAGTCGGTTCTTACGACACCCACGGTATGAATAGGGGTGGTGACACTCAGTATTCTTAATCCTTCACCCTACATAGATATTGTAGATAAATTACACTCAGCGGACACAGAGCAAATTATTGTGTTCTTCACACAATTATTTGTCATGGTTGGGAATCGAACCCACGACGTCTGGCTTAGCATTCAGGGTCACTAGACCAACAGGCTACAACTGTCAAAATAAGAATATATAAATTTTGTTTACATGAATACACACCCAAATACAGAACAAATAATCATGGCCATTAGACAACTGTTTGTAATGGATGGGAATCGAATGTGGTTAAAGTGTCAAGACGTAACAAACAAACTAACATTCGCATTTATTTTGTGTCCGTTTCATGAATCTGTGTAAAGTCCCCTGCGACGCAGGATATATTCCTAGTACGGGACTTGTCTTTTAAAAAAGAAAGACAATATTTAAAGAAAGTAGAATAGTCTTCTAAACAATCTAATCTTTTTCTTTTTGTCCCGCGCGCTTCGGCTGTTAGATTAATTACATTGCATTTTTTGACCGTACGCGGTATTTATACAATTATTTTGGGTAAAATGTTATGTTTGTTTATTGTGATATCATTTTTAAGCAAAAACATGGAAAATTAAATAACAATGATGAATTTCGACTCAGAATTTTGGTCTGAATACACTATTTCAGTATTCGTTACGATGTCCCTTACACCCTGTATATGTCTAGTGGTACATGTAACATGTATCATTATTGTTCATGGCAATCACCATAGAGAGAAAATGGCAATGACCATAGAGAGAACACTGGGTACAGTTGCCTCTAAGTGGAAGAGTGTCCATTTGCAGTCCCACACTAAGTTGGGGTCGGCTTTAAGTCTAATACGATACGGCTGAACTTTGACGCGGAGGGACTGCCACCAGACCTCCACAACCCAAGTCTCCGAGCTCAACTTTTAAGGGCTCCAAGGGATGTTCATCTGGCATCCGGGTCGACCACCATATTACATAAATAAAAAAAACGACGGGTTGCACTCCGGGAGTGCCGGCAGAAGTGAAAACTTGAATATTAACGTTGTGCATTTTTGATATTTTGGAATGGTTAGGGAATAATTTTGCACGAATTGCTTTAATTATCAGTGTAAAAGTACTATCATTTATGTGGTAGAATACAATATTTATTTGTTGCGCTATCGTACACAAACATGACAATTTATCGAGACGCTGTCACCATCCATGGATGCGCGTGGCACGCTGTAACATAAACACACGCGAACATTCGCGCAAGCGCCCTGCGCCGCCTAAACGAAAAAGCAGGCGCAGGCATACATTTTTAACCGACTTCAAAAAAAGGAGGAGGTTCTCAATTCGACTGTATTTTTTTTTAATTTTTTTTATGTTTGTTACCTCATAACTTTTGACTAGGTGAACCGATTTTGATGAATCTTTTTTTATTTGAAAGCTGGTGCTTCCCGTGTGGTCCCATTTGAATTTGGTTCAGTTCTGATAAGGGCATCCATGAGAAAACCATATAAGTCTTAAATTTGCATTCAGTATGTTCGCGACAAACAAACGCAAAAGTATTTCGATAATTCTTTTTTTATCTTACGTCATCATCGTCTTACGAATTTTCGATCAGAGTCACGTGTCCTGACGCGAGTTTAACATTTTTTACCCATTACAAAAAAAGTGTAGGTACTGTGGCGACCCCCACATACAAAAAACAGAAACATACTACAACGCCATCTAATGCTAATCCTGTATCGCGATATAAAGAAAATTTCCTCGCCGATTAGCATATATACAACTTCCCAACATCAACCGGGGGGCCGCGGCCCGCCAGGCATGATCACCTCGCCTGGTCGGAGGGGCCTCCCTTCGGGTGTCATGTCAGGACATGACACCCTCCACAGTACAACTACGCTAAAGAAGTTTTCACTTCAAAAACCCTCAATACTCACCACACTGGTCAACTTCATTTCTGTATCGTAAGTCTTGGCTAGTCCAAAGTCCGCAAGCTTGACCCGGCCCGTGCTGGTGACCAGAAGATTATGTGGCTTCAGGTCTCGGTGAACAATGCGATGGGAATGGAGGAAGTCTATGCCGGACAGGATATCGTATGACATGCTCTGTGAAATCAAAGTTTGTGTTTTTTTTTAATTTGAAGCCATTGTACTAATTGTGGGATAGTTTAGCACTATTCAAGCATTCGGCTCGAAGGACCAATATTAACTGGCCGCTTGAATTAACAACTACTAGAAGGGTTGGGAATTAACGAAATCACATTTTTTTCTTATCTAGAAGCTATAATTCTCGCTAACTCACTTAAAAAAATTACACGGGAAAATTAACGGCACAACTGCGTCAGGAGGGTGTTTTTCGAGTGTATGTCTGCATGTATGTATATTTCGTTGGCACTCTCTGTAATCTAAACGGCTTGATGGATATGGTAGGTGCCGAATAATCGTCGTAATTTTGAATGCATAATAACATATAAAAAAAAAAACGATCAGGTACGAGTCGAACTCGTGCGCCGAAGGTTTCGTACCTACAGAGATTTTACGTAGATTTTCGCGAGAATTTGTAAGTACCAAAATTTATTTTAATTTTCAACTTTTTATTTTTTTTGAATTATTCCTTTATTTGTGCTGTAAGACGTTTCTTTTTGCCAAATTTCTAGTTGATTCTAAGTCAACGGGACCTACCATATAGGTTTTCGACCCAAAACCTATAGGGTACCTACGGTTGTCCTAGAATTGTCAATTTTGGTTAAAAGCAAGGTTTTATTTGAGCAATTTTATGTGAGATGATGCCTCATTGATTCAATACCCTATTCTATATCTATTTAAGGGTCTACTTACTCTAATTCTGTTCTCCGACAAAGGCCCTGGAGCTTTCTTGAGGTATGACTCCAGGTCTTGGTCCACATGCTCGAATACTAGAAACAAAACTAACTGCTGGTCACGCTCCATTAACTGACCTCCATGGCAGACATCCAGAAGTCTGAAAAATGTTGAACACCGAATGTTTATGTATTTGTTATTTTAAACTGAAAATACTAGAACTAGAACTAAATTCTATCACACTACAGAGGATTACAGACGCTTTTCAAGTTCCTCAGTACACAGAGGGCTTTCTCCATTCTCTGTATCTCCTCCATTCTTTTCTAGACATTCCATAGCAAAATGGAACAGATAGAAAATGAAGATTTTCTTTCTTTTTTTGAAAAATTACAACTCCCGCCCTAGCAAATATATCATGTGTCTTGCAGGACTTTACAGACATACATGAAACGTACACAAACAATACCTAGACTAGGAACAATAATTTGTGGATCACACAGTGTTGACCCCTGTGGGAATCGAACCCACGTCCCACAACACTTGGTGAAGTAGGAAGCGGCGAGGTGACCGCTTAAACCACTATGCCATCCATGCAGTCAGATTACAGAAGCGAAGAAGTGTGCACAGAGTCTACATACATAATGTATGTACATGTGCACATCTTCATCCCTGAAGGGGTAGACAGAGAGGTAGTAAACGCCAACATTTTGCCACCTTTTAGTTCCACTTAAGTAATAGAGGCAAGCATATTGCCATCATATGCAGATATTATAAACAAACTACACCCAACCACAGATCAAATAAGCAAGCTCATCACACAATATTAAAGGATCTGTTTCACAGCTTCCCATGGTAGCGGCTAACCATCACCATTTAGTGGGACGAAGCTCTTCCTTTCACTGTTCAGTCGGAAGTCTCGAAGAAGATATGTCTGACTCTCATTTTCTACTTATTTCTACAGACAAACAGTACCAGCTCACCTGACTATATTAGCATGCCTATAAGCCTCGAGCTGCCTCAGTAACGCAATCTCCCTCAATGTAGAGAGCGGTATTCCATCTTCTGTGAGGGCCACTTTTACTTTCTTCATAGCAACGATCTGCCCCCCATTGTGTAAATCTCGTGCTTTGTATACTGTGCCGTAAGCTCCTGCAACAATATCAGTACAATTATATATAATTCATCATCAACAGCCCTTAATAGTCCACTGCTGGATATAGGCCTCTCCTTACAATGGAGGTTTTTGGCCTACTACACCACACTGGCCAGAGGGGTTGGTATAGGGTTTGTGTCAAGTTTTCCTTCTCTCTGCAGTGCTGTTGTCCTGCTTACTTTGCTCCCTTAGTCGGCTCTTACAACACCCACGGGATGAATAGTGGTGGTGACACTCTGTATTCTTGATCTCTTCTTGTATAAGAAATGAAAATGGCCACATGATGAGAGCAAATACAGAAAAATGGAGTAAAGTAATAACTGACTGGTATCCAAGGGACAGTAAACATAGTAAGGGGAAACAGAAAAGAAGATGGGAAGATGTGCTCAAACAAACAGCGGGCCCCAATTGGAGGAAAATGGTTCGTGACAGAAACCAATAGAAGGAGCCAGAGGAGGCCTTCGCCAAGAGGCACACTGAATTGAGGGACATATTATTCAAATTATTTATTTCGGACTATTACATCCATATAGTGTTAGTAACAATGTGTTTTAAAAACTAGTGTTATTATTGAATGATATTATTATATTGTATGTCAACATTATGTTATGTTAACATTATATTTATTTGTTTATTACTATATTATAACAACATTTATTATAGAGAAACAGAAACTATTCAGAATAAAAGGGCAAATAAATAAATAAAAAAGAAATAAAAATATATTTTTGCATGCAGTGATATTTTTTTTGGGACTACTATTTTTTTTTGTAATGTTATACACACACCAACAGAATTAGCGGAACACAAGAAAAAGGAAGAATTAATGAATAAATTGTATAGGTGTAGAATATATATTTTATTACCGACTATTTGACTTATTGACTCTTTAATTCCGTAACTGGGCCACTCATATCTTTAATAGAAAAAAAAACTTTTTCTTTTCCTATCCTATGCGAGCTATGTAGATTAGGTAAGCATGGTATTTTTAAGCATCAAGATTTAGAAACAACAAAACAAATAAAAATAAAATCCAATATTATTAGTATTTCATTTGAAACTTAATGTGCATTCTTTATTCAAATACAATATTAAACTTAAACAATTTAAATCTAAATATATAAACAAAAAAAAACTGCTTAAAATTGCGCGAAATCCATGTCGGCTGTATACATGTGCCGGTAAAGGAGGTTATCATATGCAGTTTTTTTCAATTACCTGTGCCAATAACATTAAGCTCCTCATATTTCTTCGCATTCTGGAATAAAGCTCCAACATCGGTGATAGATGCCATCGGTGGTGGACTCTGCGATGTGCCTGCCCCCATCATATTCATTGTTAATTTAAAAAATATCAACTTCGCAAACACTTTTATCAACTTCTGAATGACATTGAACCACAATATCACACTTAAATGATAAATTTTCACATATTTTTGTTTTATAAACACGTGTTTAAAAGTTTGGTTTACAGAACAAAAGTTGTTGTCTGTCAAACTTAAGCGAATACTGTACTCAACTGGTCCTGACTGGCCCATCCATAGATTAGATTGGCATAGATAATATAAATACACTATACCTGCCGACTGGCCTAGGGGAATTCAAGGGGGACGGGGTAGAGTCATTGAACCAAATCAACCACCTGCTGATTATGCGGCCCATTTTAAAACAGCCTACTCTTCTTAGTAGCTTTATAAAAAGTAAACTCATTTTTCATTCTGTAGCTTGGCTCTAATAAAAGTAAATACAGAGTCATCTATAGCGTTTTATACGCAATTATCATTAAAGAAATACCATGTTAGTATTAGGTTTGATAAATAGATGACGTTATTTTGATAATATCAATTAAAATTGAATATAAAAAAAAAACAAAGTACACTAAAAAAGACAGCTCTCAACAGTCATGAAATAGGTAGTCTTACTTGGTAAACACCCAATGCTGTGTAATGCCAAAATCTATGTAGTGCATATTTTTGCTAATATTTTCTATCTAATTATTCAATTTACTTTCTATTTAGAAGTAATGTGGTATAAAAATAATTATTAAAAAGTGAAACTACACTGGGCTCGTCCGGGATTTGAACCCGGGACCTCTCGCACCCGAAGCGAGAATCATACCCCTAGACCAACGAGCCATGTGAGAATTAACTCAATTTAGTACATATAATGTAGTGGTTTTGACGTCAGATTTGTTTAACACTATGCTTTACAATTTAATTTTATATTTAAAACAAAATTAAACAAGTCTACTTTCTATTACTCACAAAGTACATTTAAGTGTTAAGGAATTTATTTTATAGTTAGGTTAATCCTTATATATTTCATTTTTAATCTAAGATATGAGTAGATATTTCAGGCAATAACAAACATGTCTAGTAAACTTACATTTTCTTTACTATCCTTTAATATAAAACGTCTTCAGCATGCATAGAAACCAAAACAAGATGAACGAAACACCTCAAGGCGTTTTAGAAAGTTGACGTTGACGCGCGAAAGGAGAAAAAAATTACCGCTACATACAACCTTCAACCATCTCTCTTCTTCGCAGGCTATAGCAATCTAGCTTCTCGTTTTCACATATGAATCGAAATGAATTTCAAGTCGCGCCGCGCCAGTTGACTCTAGACAGTACTGCGCGCGCATGTTTGAAGATGGCGGTATTTTCGACTACCTAAAGAACAATACAAGAACTTTTCTTACATAAAAATATATATTTGTATTGTTTCTATGACTTAAACGTGTGTTAATAATTTTATGGACGATTTTTATCCTATTAAATCTAGTGAAGTGTAGACGGAAATCGCGTGTGGAAGTGTGTGGCAAAATGTGAAAGTTTCTTGTTTGAAGAAAACAGTGAATCTTTTTATGTGTTATCGTATCGTTATCCTACATATTTCTGGTTTCTACATCTGTTTATTGAGCTAAAAATCGGTGAGTTAATTATTACTTCCCTCTTTAGTTTTTAAAGGATTTTTATAAGCGTAAGTACAACAGATAGTATGAATGAAAGTCAATTGATTAGGCGGATCTACTCTTATAATTAATGAAATTCTTAGCGGACATTTCACATTTTATCGTAATGGGCTATTTAACATGATTGTGGTTTATTTTAAAGGATGTAATATTTTTGTGCACCAAGAACGGACGATTTATAGAGCTTTTCATTAGACCTTTTTTAGTAATTAACTATGGCCCCGTTATATTAACCGAATCGACCGAATATTTACACTGCGAGTGATTAGTAAATACGGATAGTACTATAGCTATTCGCTTTCGCCGTTCGGAAACTTCCGGCACCCTCGACGAGATTGTAGGATCTTATATGCCTTGTCGAAATATCTAATAAAATCTTACGGATCTTTACCATCATAATTATGCAGACGTAAGTGGTACATATTATGCCTGTTTTTAGCCACTAAGAAAAGCGCTGTTTGCCTAGAGTAAAAAGTAACTTCCTTGGGTTAAATTAATTAGGCATTTATGTAGGTTTATCACAAGAAGAGAAAGCGTTACATTAACATGGCACTCATAAAAAATACTTTCGTTACAATTTTTACTTTATTGGTTTGACAATGACGTCACAGCCTAAATTGCGTAAAAGTATCCACTAATCATAATATAATTATGACGTAATAAAGAGAAACTGATTTCATTAAACGGCTAACTATTTTTTTAAAGTAAAAGATTACATATAGGCGACCTTTTTTCGGTTTGTAAAAGTATAGAGCTTTTTGTATTATGGTATATGTATCATCACTTTCAACAACAGCCTTTAATAGTCCACTGCTGGACATAGGTCTCTCCTTAGAAAGGAGGTTTTGGCCTACTATACCACGCTGGCCAAACGGGTTGGTATAGGGTTTGTGTCAAGTTTTGCAGTGCTGGTTTCCTGCGTTGTTTTGCGCCCTTAGTCGGCTCTTACGACACCCACGGGATACATTAGGGTAGTGACATTCCGTATTCTTAATCCGGCACTACACGGACAGATATGGTAATTGTTTACTTGTGTGATTCCATTTACATGAATTCTATATAGGTACATACTTTCAAGTTTACGTATATTCTCTAGAGCAGGGATTCCCAAAGTGGTCGATATCGATACCTTGGTGTCGAAATCGGTTTCCCAGGGGCCGACATAAGGCACCAGGGACTTCCTTTCTAGGGTATACCTGGATCCCCGGCTATTAGTACCCGAGACGGCGTGCGGTTTTAGTCGGTTCGAGTCCGACATGCCACCGACAGGTGGTATCCGAGGGGATTTCCGCACGGAAAAAAAAAAAAAAAGGGGCCGACATAAACGATAACTGATATTGGGGGTCGACGAGGTCTAAAAATCGACTCCAATTTATTAACAAAAGTTCTTATTTAAAACTTTCAAGATAAGTTGTATTACGTGCACCAACTTCTTATAAGACTGACTAATGTGTTTATTTATTTTGTTAAATTTTGATGAGAAAATGATGTCAAGTTTATTCACTTAACCAACGACAAAGTTTATCAATTGAAATAGAAAAAAAATTAGATAAGATTTTAAAGTAATTTCTATTGGGGGTTTTGAGATATCAGTTCATTTTGGAAAAGGGGTCTCTAGTCCAAAATAGTTTAGGAATTAGTGCAGGCTCTAGACGATAGACGGAAGCGTATTAAACGCCCATGGGTAGATTCCTTAGTTTAAAAGAAATTATTTTCTAGCATCATTAAGTAAATGTTACACCTTAAAATAGAGACTGAATTGTCCTTCATTATTAATTTTATATTTTTATTGATTTGATATCTTGATATAAACATTAAATTTACTTAAATAATCTGACAATACCTAGTTATGACGTCACGAAATAGTATTTCATACAAAAATGTACCGTTTAACGTTTAAAAAAAGATACTGATTTGACTTGACTACCCTCACGTAGAAGACAATTCTATTGCCTTCCAGTGGCGGCTTTAGCCATTGCCAAGACAAGGGCCTCGCAATGATCTGCCAACCCGAGGCCCTTGTCTTTGTGGAATTAGTTTTAATGCTGATACTTGAAACAAAAAAATGCAGTACAACACATAATGCTGCTCGAACATAAAAGCACAAACCGACGACAGTTGCCACTGACAAGATGTCAATATGAGTTTTAGAACGCGAGGCGTAAGGCACTTTTTCTAATTAGTCGCGAGTGCGCGAGGCTCCTGCATAAGCGAGGCCCTTGGCGGTTGCCCTGCTCTAATAGCGACTCTATGGAGTTGCTATTCCGCCTAGAGACATTGTCAAAATACTACAGTATGCGTGACTGTACTGTAGTTGTACGCTCTGTGATGCCGAGCTCCTGGTACTCCACGTTGGTGCGGAAGTCCGCCCACGATATCCCGAGCAAGTTAATCTACAAGTGATTATCTTATACAATATAAAATTCTCGTGTCACAATGTTCGTTCCCGTACTCCTCTAAAACGGCTTGACCGATTCTCATGAAATTTTGTGTGCACATCGGGTAGGTCTGAGAATCGGCCAACATCTATTTTTCATACCCCTAAATGGTAAGGGTGACCCATCCCTAAATTTTTTTTTAGGCAAAGCAACGTTTGCCGGGTCAGCTAGTAATATTATAAAGCTCAGTCATATATATAATATGTTATGAGTGTTTTTATTAAAGTCAGTGTGGTGACGGATTAAGAATACGGAGTGTCACCACCCCTATTCATCCCGTGGGTGTCGTAAGAGCCGACTAAGAGAGTAAACTACGCAGGACAACAGCACTGCAAAGAGAAGGAAAACTTAAAACAGACCCTATACCAACCCATCTGGCCAGCGTGGTATAGTAGGCCAAAACCTCCTTTCTAAGGAGAGGCCTATGTGTCTGTCTGCTGAAGCTGCTGAACCGATTTAGATGAAATTTGGTATGGCGATAGTTATCCGTGTGGTGACGGATTAAAAATACAGAACGTCACCATCCCTATTCATTCCGTGGGTGTCGTAAGAGCCGACTAAGGGACTAAACTACGCAGGACAACTAACAGCACTGCAGAGAGAAGGAAAACTTGAAACAAACCCTTTACCAACCCTTCTGGCCAGCCTGGTATAGTAGGCCTCTTTAAGGAGAGGCCCATATCCGGCAGTGGACTGCTTGGGGCTGTTGACGAGACAAAATTGTGCGGGTCAGCTAGTACTTGTGGCCTAATAGACATTTTATCATCACGCCACGACTTTTAGGACCGTAACAGAGATGCTAAGAGTGAAACTACGCTGTATTGTTAGGTTATAGATAAACATCTACTGATCTCTCTTCAACTAGATGATATTATAAACTGCTTTTTATGTAAATTCAAAGCGAAAGTTACTTATACATC